GGTTTGGGATTCAGAGTCGTCCTTTCTTCTGAAGAGGATTCATACTTTTCCTAAGGTTATTAGTAGGTAAGTGAATGTAATGGATTCGACTGGAATTCGAACTTGGCTCACACATTCCTTTATCCATGACTCCTGACTACATTAAAAAAAACTTATCTACAACAATGTGATTTGACGATTGCGTAACAAAAATACGTCGGATTAAAAAAAAATCTGTTATTACAGTTTATTACAAGCCTTTTGTATGACGTGTTTTGTCATTTAGGACTTCATCGGACTAAAATGTTGTTTCCGTTGATGTAACTGCACGTGCGCAGAAAGGGGAGCTAACGTTAAAGTACTGAACTTTTAAATTTAATTTCTTCTTTGTCTAAATTTAAAAAGTTAAACGTTTTAGACGTCCTAAAAACTAACATCATTTACTCTGCGTGTATTCTACGAAAAGTAGATCTGTGGATTTTGATAGTATCATCACTAGAGAGAAAACTTTCTATACCTGATATTAATTTGGATGAATTTGAATTGGAGCGTTACCCACAATTTTTTGAATGCATGCAAATTAGAAATACATCCAAAATTTTAATATTTACATCTATATAATAAATACGAATGTCAGTATGTCACACTTTTTCAATTTTACTCATAGAGGACGGAGCCCAACATATCATATCATTTTGGAATCAGGCTGATTCCGTGAGCAAATTAAAAGCATTCAGTGCAGGCTCCGGAACCGCAATCCTGAAATTTTAAATTCCAAGTTTTCAGTCATTGTTTTCGGCGATTTTTTGACGTTATTTTTTGCGACGAATTTTTTTGTACGATAACAATTTTTATAACTTTGAAATAAATTAGGGAATAATCGAAATTAATTGCGAAAGTAACCCATGAAATAAGAATAATTGTTCCTACGGAAAGTAAGGACCTACGTACATAAAATTATCTTTAAATTAAGTGGTGACAGAAGAATTATCGTTGAACTTTTAAAAGGTTAGTTTAAATATTAATGCAACACTTATATACAGCGAAAGATTTTGATTTCTGCTGTCGTTTATTGTTGACTATCGCATTTATTTCTCCTTACCTATTGGGATGAAGGCCCAATCAAGAGCCACCGCAGGAGCTAACTTATATGCCACCCGATGTGTGTGTGTGTGTATGTGTGTGCGCGTGTGTGTGTGTATGTATATATATATATATATATATATATATATATATATATATATATATATATATATATGTTGTGGTCTTATTAAGGCCAGAAATAAAGACACAAAGAGAGGAATTGAGTTAAACAAATAAATTAACAGAAACAGTCATACAAACATATACAAACGAGAGTGTTACAGCAAGAATGTTCGGTCCGATTGTCAGAGCTGGCTGCTGGAACGTCCCTCTTCAAAAGGCAGTACTTGCTCCTTTTTATATCTGGCAGATTCCATGCATGCGTGGGTAAATTACCATAACAATATATATATATATATATATATATATATATATATATATATTGGCAATATATATATATACAGTATGTCCATAGAGTTAGTGTGCACTTAAAAAAATTATAACTTTATTTGTATTTGCAATAGAATAATTTGTAAAAAGGATTAAAAAGAAGTAAATCTATATTTCTTAGAGTTTTATTGAAATTTTGTATAATAGAGGGACTCGTGCCCAAATAAATAATGATTAAATTACATAACACGGCAGCCAACAAGCAAAATGGCATTACAACATTCAGAGAAAAAACTAATTTTATTCTAACAAAAAAATTCAAAACTGCATCATAAAATAATTTAAAAAGCAATTCTAATATCGCCATCAGTCGAGCCCATGAATCTAAAACATACATAATTTTAACAGTAAAACGACTGACGCGGTTCTTGTCAGTCGTTTATTATCGAAACTTGTGTAAAAGAGAGATTGCTGCTCAAATACATAATATTTGTATGTATGAAGAAATATAGTTTTAAGTTGTTCTATATTTATGCGATAAAGTGCTCAATATCAGAGATAAAGTGTATGTAAATATAAATATAAAAGTGAACATTGAAGTCGACACTCAGATTGCGTCTAGCATGAAACATCCTGTTGCCTCTGAGTGTTGACTTCAATGTTCACTTTTATATTTATATTTAATATATATATATATATATAACATATGCATATACATACATATATATATATTTAATTCTGACCGTATGTCCACCTTCAACTTACGAAAAGAGGTGAAGATTTGGTTCTAAATATGCCTAATAAATCTCTTTTCTCACAAGTTATCTACCATCGCCTGAAGAAGAACCATCTTATTACTGAAACATGAAAGTTTTGTGTAGCGATGTAAAATGTTTTTGTTGGAATTATAATAATACTTAGCCGATCAGGCAAGGTTGAATAGTGCCCTCAATCGAAATTCCTCTCGTCAAAGAATTCTTGAAATTCCTAATATCTGCTCAGTTTCGTATCCAAACGTAAACAAAGCAATTACCTAATGGATTTTTTATTTATTAATCCGGCAGATTTTTTCACTTTAAACATAATTTTATTGGATACTCGTATTTGAGTAGACGTCCCATTTATTTTTGCAACCGTATATTTATTTATTTTCGTCTACCAGTCTGAATATTCGAAAAATCTTATTAAAGAAAATATGAAACAAAGGAACAGAGAAAAGAGTACTGAACTGGTGCGTAGTGACTGCTGGACAGTCTCCTCGCAGATGAAGAAGAGATTTGAAGCAGCAGAGATGTGGTTCTACAGGAGGAGGATGAGAATATCATTGACTGAATATGTAAACAAAGAGAAAGTTTTAGAGAGCTTGAAAACGAAAAGGATATTAATGCTTAACATCAGAAAGTGACAGTTGAAATTTCTGGGGCATATAACGATAAAAGATGGCCTCGCAAATCTGACACTCACAGGGCATACTGAAAGCAAGAGGGACAGAAGAAACCAACGCATAGCCTGCCTAATGAGCATGCGCAAATTGATGGAGGAACATGGTTTAGACAGGATAGCAAAAAGACACAATTTACTAAGTGCTACAAAGAACAGGAAATTGTGGAAAGCCATGACTGTCAATGGAATGAGAGACATCATCCATAAGAAGAAGAAGAAGAAGAAGAACTCTTTTGTCTCAAAGTAGATACTGAGAATATAATGGTTTGAATATGTAAGGAAAGAATGATTTAGTGAGCGCGAAAACAAAATGGAGACTTAGACATTAGAAAGAGACAGTTTAAATTTCTGGAGAATTCGACAGATTTTTTATCACTTGAAACGTTATTTTAGTGTATACTTGTATTTGAGTAGACGCTCCATTTATTTATGAAAAATTATATTTATTTATTTTCCTCTACCGGCCTGAATATTCGAGAAATCATATTCAAGAAAACTTGCACTCTTCGGCAGATCGACTTGCGTGCGTGCGTGTGTGTGTGTGTGTAATAATTTAAAGATGTGTGTGTATGTCTAATAATTTAAAGATATGTGTGTGTGTACGTCTAATAATTTAAAGATGAGTGTTTTTGTGTGTGTGTATGTCTAATAATTTAAATTTCGCACAAAACACCTCACAAGTCAGACGCAGTATTGGGATTCTAGACACTAAACCAGCGATTCTCAACGTAGTCCGAGTGGACCACCGGTGGTCTACATAACATTTCTAGTGGTCCACAGAGAATTCGTGGCCATAAAAATTTTTTTAACCATTTCACAAAAATGTATCTAAATTATTCATACTTTGAAGAAATAAAAAATAATATATTATAATATAAAAATATAATATAAAAATATAATAATAATAATAATCGAGAAAATGAATTGAAAAGAAGGAGACTTTGCTTACATATCGATAAAGGACTCACACCCAAATATTTTTCAACATGTAGAAGCAAGCATCATTTCTTTCCTTACCAATCTGGAATCTGGATTTTCGGCTGTTGTGGATGTTTTCAGTAGAAAAAGAAATAAATTATATCTCAACGTCAGAAGAACTATCAGACTAAGACTTGAATGACACCATCAAAATTGATTATGATATCTTGTGTGAGAAACACCAAGATCAAGGTAGTCACTAGCTAAATAGACTAAATACTGAATGACATCATCAAAATTGATTATGATATCTCGTGTCAGACACACTAACATCAAGGTAGTCACTAGCTGAATGGGCTATGATATCTTGTGTGAGAAACACCAAGATCAAGGTAGTCACTAGCTGAATGGACTAAAACAGAATGACATCATCAAAATTAATTTTGTTATCCTGTGTTTATCCTTGTTTACTAAAATAAAATTTAAAATGTAAATAGACTACTTTCTCTTTTCATTGAGTATTTTAGTGCGAAAATTGAACAGCCTTTTAGGTAAAAGTAGGAGAGGTCCATTTGAATTTTTTGAAGAAAAAAATGGTCCATATGTTGAGAAGCACTACACTAAACGACCAGAACTTATTTTACCAATCTTTTCTTTAAGACAGTGCAGATATATATAAAGCGTATATATTTTGCGTATATATAAAGCGTATATATTTTGCGTATAAAGCTAACTTTACTTTCTATGACACGCAAGAAGATTGTACTAATTACTGTTTTATGTTCATATTGGGTAGAAATTATGTGGGAATATATTTGAGCTCTTTCTTTGCTCTCGATAATGTTCTTGAAGCTTAGTGAACGTCATTGGGGTAATTTAAACAGAGTAGATTTTTATGACAGAGTCTTATGGAATAATCAATAACGCAACGAACAGGAAAGGAGTCGGAGACAGGAAGACAGTTAAAAAAACGTAACAGAAGCGAAATAAAATCGACAGAATGAAGTTCAATATAGCTTATTGATTTAAGCGCTCGTAATTCATAGATTTGTGAAAACTAAAGGCAGAACATAGATATGAATCTTCCAGAACGTTCATGCAAAAAAAAAAAGAATGCGATCAATGAGGAATTTAAACTCAATTTGGAGCAGCAATACACATACTATCTTTCTTTTATTTCTCAGTACCTACTTGTCGTGGATAGATAGATAGATATAAACAGACTGAAAGAGATAGATAAATAGATAGATAGATAGATAGATAGATAGATAGATAGATAGATAGATAGATAGATAAAGAATAAAATTAGATAAGGACAGACGTACATAGGGAAATATAAATATATGAGCATAGATAGATGGATAGATAGATAGATAGATAGATAGATAGATATAACCATACTGAAAGAGATAGATAGATAAATATATAGATAGATATGAACTGACCAAAAGAGATAGATAGATAGATAGATAGATAGATAGATAGATAGATAGATAGATATAAACAGACTGAAAGAGATAGATAAAGAATAAAATTAGATAAGGACAGACGTACATAGAGAAATATAAATACATGAGCATAGATAGATAGATAGATAGATAGATAGATAGATAGATAGATAGATAAAGAATAAAATTAGATAAGGACAGACGTACATAGAGAAATATAAATATATGAGCATAGATAGATAGATAGATATAGATAGATAGATATAAACATACTGAAAGAGATAGCTAGATAGATAAATATATAGATAGATATGAACTGACCGAAAGAGATAGATAGATAGATAGATAGATAGATAGATAGATAGATAGATAGATAGATAGATAGATAGATAAAGAATAAAATTAGATAAGGACAGACGTACATAGAGAAATATAAATATATGAGCATAGATAGATAGATAGATAGATAGATAGATAGATAGATAGATATAAACATACTGAAAGAGATAGATAGATAGATAAATAGATAGATAGATATGAACTGACTGAAAGAGATAGATAGATAGATAGATAGATAGATAGATAGATAGATAGATAGATAATGGCCCGCCACCCAAATATTTCATATGATTCAGAGAGAAACTAATTTACTAGGTGCAACAGTAGAATTACATTTTGAGAACAAAAATTATTTATCACATAAAATGTAAAGACTTACAACTTAGATTTTTGTGTGAAATTTAAAAACACATTGGAATTTCTGTTTTTCACAAAGCCAACTATAAAAACATTTGGAAATTATGTTTTTTACAATGATGTTTAAACAAGAGCCACTCGAGGTAGAGGGTTAGAGAGTAACAGGCACTGTTTATGGGGATATATGGGGAAGATAACGGTTGACCCTAGACATGAACAGGTCAAGATAGATAGATAGATAAAAATGAACATTGAAATGATCAGACATCGATAGATAGATAGATAGAAAGAAATGAACACACCAAGATAGATAGAGAGATAGAAACACACACACACACACACACACACACACACACACACACACACACACATATATATATGATAAAAATATAGTTTTAAAGTATGCTATACCTATTAGTTAAATGCTCGATATCAAGAAGAGAGCTTTTGTAAATATTAAAAACGTGGACACTGTGGTTAACACACAGCGGCGACAATTCAGATGGCCTGATGATTGCTTTGTAAAATAAAACAGACTGTTGCCGCTGAGTTATATATATATATATATATATATATATATATATATATATATATATATATTAGGATATTACAGCAAAAACATATAAAAATCGCTACACAATTTCAGTCGTATTTCAACGCAATAACAATGTGTATCCTCAGACGATTGTAAATTACTGGTGAATGAACGATTAATTTGGGTTCAAAAGCAAAATACATTCTCTTTCTTTTTTAAAAAAAAAAAAAAAAAGGTTTGAGGGCTTTACCCTGATCAACCCATGTTTAATTCAAACTAAGCAAAAAAGAAAAAAAATTAAAATTATTATCTTAGAAATCTGTGGTGGCTAAGAGTTGACATCTAACCGCAGCCAAACATTAACTTAAAGACTGATACAGATGGTTGCAATACATGTACACATTCCAGACAGACAACTTTCATAAGAAATAAATGCCGCAGGGGGGTGGGTGGTAGAGAGGTATTTTAACTGAATACCCAACTAGATATAAGCTTTGTGGATTTCCTACATAATTTTTTGTAGTTGATAAATAAGAGGCCTCTTTAAGAAACTAGCAAATAATCTAAACATATATAATTATTTGGTAAATAATATGCAACCGTTAAATAAATAACATACATATATGGTGTTAATAATATCCACTAATCATTATAAAATATCAAAAATACTAACTAAATACCAATACAACCCTATAATATGTTAATAATACCACCTGGAGATCAACACAGAACTAAATTAAACCCAAATTAACCATACAAATAGAAGCATAAGCGACATATGGTGCAACGCATTTCAACTAAAATCTAAGAAAAACATTGTCAAATTCTAAAGTTTAACTGAATTGTATGGTAGAATTTTTTTACAATTTACCGTTAATTCGGATCTTTGATTTAATAAATAATTCTCAAAGAACCTGATAATTTCCATTTTTCATGTAAAGAAAACAGGGTTCATATAATCCCCTACATGTCCTTGCTATAATTTTCCATTTCACCTTAGGAGTTTTATTATCATCTTTTAAACTCCGAAAAAGCGATGTATTATTTCTATATTGGTGAAGGACAAAATATGCTGATACCACCTAGTTTTAAAAGAATTCTTAGTACTACCAATGTATAATTTTTCAACTGTCGGATTCTCTATTGTAGAGATAGTACTTAGGTAAACAAGAGATATAATTAGACATTCATTTGGCAATGGGCATTGGTCTGAATTCCTACAATTAGATTGATGGCATCATTAATAAGATTTATCTTGCAACGTGCATTATGATCCAGATAATTAAATTAGTTTTAAATTTTATTATTGTGTAACTTTATAATCTTCTCAAGATAATTACTGCAGCTATAACTTAGATTCAATGTGTTTCTGTTTTACTTTTCTTCTTTTACTAATGGGGATACTTTTAAGGAAATGTTTATCAATTAAATGGAGTAATTTCTAGCCTTAGTATCGAGCAGTTGGTTCAGTGGCGATGTGAACCAAATGATCTTCCTATTTATTTTTTTTCTTTAGACCGCTATCATCATGTTGTCTATACTTGATTTCAGCGTACTTGTAACCACTATTCTTTGAAACAGTATTATAAATACCGGTATATTTATCTAAAACATGATTGCCAGATGAGTGGTTGCTATTTCTACGTTCTTATATAATAATATTGCTCTAGTATGTAACGAGACCTCTTTTAAATTAAATATTACAAACGTTGGAAATGTTCTATTCTGGATATATATATATATATATATATATAAATGATAGAAATTAAGTAATTAATTAAGCAATTTATAGATTCTAGAAGAAACATCAACAGAATGCAGAAAGCACTGGATGGCCGTTTTGTCCTATATTTGGGACACATCAGCAGTTGGCATCCACTACCGAGAATTGAAACCTGGACAGTTACATTGACAGGCAAACGTCATACCAACTGTACTAACAGGCCTCGGTGACGAAGAGGTAGCGAACTAGACTCGATATTGCGCCGCTCGTTCACATATTCTGTGGTGGAACCCATCCAAGTTTCTTTACTCCATCCAAGTTTCTTTACTGTGCTTCCTAGAGCCACGGCTATTATCCCCAAGCCGCTCCATCCAGAGCATTAGAAGCCGGTTTAAGCAAAGATATACAAATGATAGAAATTATGGGGGATTTGAGATAATTAAGTAATTTATCGAGTCTGCAAGAAACATCAACAGAATGCAGAAAGCACTGGACGGCCGTTTCGTCCTATATTTGGGGATCATCAGCAGTGCGCACCCAGGCAAATGTCATACCAACTGTACTAACAGGCCTCGGTGAAGAGGTAGCGAACTAGACTCTCGATATATATATATATATATATATATATATATATATATATATATATATATATATATAAAAGTGAACATAGAAGTCAACACTTAGAGGCGACAGTCTGTTTCATGCTATATGCAATCGTCAGGCCACATATGCTGTTATTTTTCTCGGCTATTTATATATATACGGGTTAGTGGTGCATTGTGGGTATTCTATTATGGCGGTTATTTTACCGGAAGTCGTTTGTTTATTTATTTGGGTCAAATTATATTGCTCGTTTTTATTTTTTTGTTTCTTATTTTATTTATTTATTTATTTATTAACGTAGTAAAAATTTGTTTATATCACTTATTTAACAGTTTTGTTTTGGTTTGGGAATTTAATTGAAGCTATTTGTTCAATTTTTGGGTTTGGTTGTTGTAGTTCATTCTAACTATTATTTTGGCGGGAACAGTTTTTAATTTGGGATTGGTTTGTCTATTTATTTACTTGGATGAATTTAGGTCAATTTATTTGTATATTTTCTCTTTTCGGTTTTTATGAAACAGACTGTCGCCTCTAAGTGTTGACTTCTGTGTTCACTTTTATATTTACACATGCTCTGTCTCTGATATTGAGCACTTTATCCCATAAATATAGCACACCTTAAGACTATATTTCTTTATATATATATATATATATATATATATATATATATATATATATATATATATATATATATATATATGGATGGATGAATATATATATATATATATATATATATATATATATATATATATAAATTGTCATCCACAGATAGATTGAATTCCTACAATTAGATTAGATGGATGGCAAACTGGTCTACCACAGAAAGAAATGGCAACAACGAGAAAAAATCTGCCTCGTCAGTCATGTATCACGCATGGCACAAAACTGACTGATATTTGTAAAAGGACAATATGAATAAAGACAAAAAGAAAACTTAGGCGTTTCGTCCTCTGGTGGACTTTATCAAGGCAAATGCTAGGATTTTATTTTGTAACAAGTATTTATATACAAGAGCAAAAATATTATTAGTTTTGCATAATTTTTAAATTTTAGAACGCTCATAAATCTTCATCAAGTTATGGAGGACATGAAGGGAAACAATCCAATGTCTAATAAACGAAAGCCACATTATTTACATTATTCGGACTATTGTCCCCATCTTTGTTGCCATATTTATCGCCATATTAAGTAATTTATCGAGCCTAGAAGAAAACTCAACAGAATGCAGAAAGCACTGGACGACCGTTTGGTCCTATATTTGGAACTCATCAGCAGTGCGCATCCACGAGAATTGTAACCTGGATAGTTACATTGACAGGCAAACATCATACCAACTGTACTAACAGGCCTCGGTGACGAAGAGGTAGCGAACTAGACTCCATATTGCGATATATATATGTCTATGGATGGATATATATATATATATATATATATATATATATATATATATATATATGTATGTATGTATGTCGCCATATTTATTACTATTTAGTAATAAATATGGCGACAAAGTGAGTACAATAGTCCGAATAATGTAAATAGTGTACATAATACCTCATCTCAGAAATATAGACAGATACTGAAAGGCCGAAACGTTGTAATAAATATGGCGACAAAGATAAGGACAATAGTCCGAATAATGTAAATAGTGTGCATAATGCCTCATCTCAGATATATAAACAGACACTTAAAGGCCGAAATATTGTAATAAATATGGCGACACAGATGAGGACAATAGTCCGAATAATGTAAATAGTACCTCATCTCAGAAATATAGACAGAAACGAAAGGCAGTATGTGATGTTCTTGATTTTTTTTTAATGCCAATTAGCATTTGAATTATTTTAGTTTGGGATTAATTTATGCGTTATATATTTTAAAGAACACCAAGCTATGGATTTAACAGCTTCCTTTTAATTTGTAAATATTTTTTATATTTATGTATGTTGGCTTGGAAAAGTAATAATTCTTTCAGGAATAGAAATATTTGAGGTTTAGTTATCAAACACTTTTGCATAATCTATAAAACATAGGTATACATCCTTTTTCATTACTCTTTCTGATATTAT